TATAAGAGAAAAAAATATAATATATTTTTTATATATTATATATTTAAAACAGAATATAAATATAAGAGAAAAAAAACCCCAAAACAGCAGAAGCATCCCATGGCAACGTCCTTTGAAGCTGTCTTTGAACGATTACCTCGAGGGGGTGACGGAGCATTTCAGTTTCTGTGGCTCATTCAATCCTGTGGCTTTCTGATGAACAAATACAACTGCAATGTTATTTTCTCAGATATAATGCCACTCTAGTGTAGCTGGTAGGCAGGTCACTGAACACCTGTCATAAGGCAGTGACTTCCAGTTGACTACTGTACTTCTAAATGACAAATTTGATCCTGAAAATCTTCCACTGTGTAAAGGTCTAGCACAAAATCTCTCCAGATCACCACAGAAATTCAGTTGTTAGATACTTTCCAGGTACCTTAGATTTCTGTAATTCACTTCAGCTCCCACTGAACAAATTTCTTCCTACTAGTCATATCTTGATTTATCAGTGAGCCTTCCTATCTTCAATCAACAGACATTTCCATTTGTCTTTTGTTGGATGACTCCCTGCCATATTTCTCCTCCCATTTCATAGTTCTGATGATTACCCTGAGCTTTCAAACTCTTCTACACCATTATGCCCTAACCAAGCTCTCTCCATACCAGATAGTCACACTGCTCAACAACCACAAAAGGTAAAATGCTTCAAATGAACATGTCAAGGTGTCTCATTTTCCCATTGCAACAATTTCCTGAATATAAATATTTTCCTGAATATAAATATTTTCCATAAACCTATTTCTGCTTTCCCCTAACTATAAATGACTTGAGTAATTAGTTTTTGTTTTGTTTTGTTTTTTGGGTTTTTTTTGCTTCACATTTCACTGTCTTTTTTTATGAGAAAAAACCTTTGCCCATGAGAATCTTCTGCTGGAACCACAGCAAATGTTTATAGTGCAACTGCATCTAAATCTTTTGGGTTTCTGATTTTGCTAAAACCATGTATCTCAGTTCATGCTCACTAAAATCTTTGCTGAATGTGAAGTAAGCCTGACAAGATTTCTAGTTGTGCACTGAAAGCAATAGGACATATGCAACATGATACACATGGAATAGAATTCCTTTCAAGTGAGTTTCTCTTTGATGTCCATGAATAGATGGAATACCAAGCTCATGGCAAAAGCCTGAAGATGTGCATGGGAGTCTGAAGATTGAAGGTGATGAATCACACTTACCAGATAATAGGGTTTCTTTGCTCTACAGGTAATAAATATCATAGTGTCTGCTAATCTAAATCATTGAGATATGCCTAAAAATCTACTCTCTTATATGTTTATGTGTTTCTAACTGGAATATTTTCTGCTCATTTAACTCACATCATGCATTAGCAAGGGCTGATCTCTCTTCATTTCCTGGAGATGTAATATTATCAGTCCAGCTGAGTGTATTTTGAAGATAAACTATTGCATTAATTCATCATCCAGGTATACTGACTATCTATCAGAGTGAAACAGTTCAGTTAGGATATTCTCCTTGCACGCTTCTGCACATGTCTGCTAAAACGGACATTAAACTACTGAACTTTATGTTTGTTTTGAAACTGTCTTTTAATCCACTTAAGAGTCTCATCCAGATCTTGAAGAACAAACAAGCACAAGAACTGGATTCTATCATGATTAATTACGATGGAAATCAGTCCCAGCCTAAACATTTACTGAATGTTTAATCCCTGATAATGTTTTTACTGAATATAAAAGACAGTTCCACTGAAAAAATATATAGTATTTTTTCTTATCATTATCCTGTTTTGTTGTTTCTACAGCAAGTGATTCCTTGGGACAAAAAGTATCCGGCAAAAATTAGGAATAAGAGGCTTTGGTATACGTCTGTAGGAACACAGTGGGAAATACTTTAGCATGGGATAAATCATGGAAATAGAGATAAAGCATGGAAATAGGCAAACATACAGGGGATTTACTTGATATGCACAAGCCAACTGCAACAGTCAGCGTGTGCAGAACACCAGAACTGTGTGGGGAAGTGGGTAGCAGCAGGTGATGCCAGAAAGGGGTAAGGCACAGTGTATGACAGAAAGGAAGACAGACAATCCAGTGTCAGCTCATTTTCTTTGTTTAGAGACTGGCTCATCTAACCAGAGTGTCCACTTTGCCTCTACTCTTGCCACGTGCAGAAGTTCCTTTCTTAGAATGTTTGGGAAAGTGAATATACTTTCAGCACATGCTAGTTGATAGCAAATACCAAGTGTTTTTGATCACCCATTATGTTAGAAAAACTCCACAAAAAAGAAAATCTGTGTCATTTTTCACTCACTGTTGTTGTCTCCTCTTTGTCCTAACTTCCCAGAAATGCTAAAAAAATGGATGGAAAGGTAGTCAAAAAGCCACATATGGTAAATGACATTAAACACTAAAATATTATGTTCTTTGGGTAGTTATCCTTCTCATAGTATTTGCACTAGTTTCTGCACATGAGGAAAAAAAAACCAAACCCAGAAAGTTCATCACTTCTTAAACACTTACTGGATTTACTAAACCATGAAACCAAACTCCTTAAACTTGGGTGCTGCAGCTCAACCCCAAGGCCACAATACACCATTGAAAGACCACCTCATAAATGTGCTACCTTTTCTTCCCAGTGGAAGTTAAACTCCTCTATAACCACTTTGCAGCCAAGCAGCAGTAGACATTTTGTTTTCAGGGCTGCGGAAAGATAGCATACAGCACGAGAGAGAAAGATTTTAAAAGGCGAAATAGCTCAAACTACTTTTTTTTTTTTGCTTTATGAATAAGTTCAGCTACAGACACAACTATTAACCTTTATGCCAGTTCACAGTAGTTTACAGCATTTTAAGCAATCTCCAACTGACGTCCTGATCTGAATTCTCTAGTTATGCAAAAGTACTGTCATGAAGCACCATAAACCATTCTTCTCATTCTGTTAATGACATTTCAAGTTCTGTAGAAGACAGAGCCACCCACTGCATACAACACTGTTTAAACAATAGTAAGAGGAAGATAAGCCAATCACAAGCACACACTCAAGCCACTCCCAATGCATGTCTGCCTACCAAAGACCTGGTTCCTACACCGATATACATAAATATTTGCACGTTCCCTTACTCTGAGCAGTTTAATAGCCTTATACTCACATGACTTCCTATTTGCTCGTGAGCGCTTCCTCTCTCTAGGCACCGCTCGCTGGCTTGGCACTTGGGTGGCGGACTTGACAATGCGATCCATGATCTCATCTGCAGCGTCATCCGTTGCATTCGGTGAGTCGTCGTTGCCAGCGTTCCATGAACCGATACGGCCTGGAAAAGTCCAGCAAGTCAATTCAGGGAAAAGAAGAGAGGAAGTCTCTTGCGTCACTTTGGTTTTGCAATTGTGGTTTTTTGGGAATTTATAGCAGGCAACTCAGTCATCCCAGCTTCAATTCAACCAAAGAAGAAGGATCTGCCTAATGGAGAATATTTCTAAATAATAAACTAGATTCTTTGCTGCACCAGCAGAGAGCCAAGAGCTCAAACACAGTTATAATATATATATATATATTTATATACAAACTTTCTATTCCTTTAAGACTCAGTCTCTTGCTCTTTATCACACAACTGGTAAATGCCTGCTAGAGGGTGCCTGTAAGCCAAGGATGGATAGTGTTGTGTGACCATGTTTCTCTTTGCTCCTCTTACAAAGACACTAGAAGACATGGCACAACTTAGAGATAGATGTAAATTGAAAACACAAGTCCTTTTATACTGAAAGATAAAAAATTCTAAGCATCTGTATCACAACCTAGAGCAAAGGAGAGAAGAAAAGAGCATAAAGTGTGGTTTGACATGTCTCGTCCCCTTCACAATGAAGAATTCACCTTCTTAGCACAGAGCTGTATGTGTCCTGATATGTGACTGTGTGTGCTACCTGAGTGAAAGAGTTGTTGGCAAGCTGAAAAGCTGAAAACAGTTTTGGTAAAACCACAAACAAGTGAGCCATGTTTCCAAATCCAAGGCTTTGGCACTCCTTACTCCACAGAGCACCGTGTAACATGTCTTTGGGTTCCTCCACTACTGGCTACTGTTGTGTACATTTTGTTTTTATATTATTTGAAGGCTAGTGTGCACTGTGAACATTGACAGCGAGCTTTGCAAAAGAGTGGATGTGGTACAATTGCAAAGCCATTTATACCACATTCCTGAAGTCCATAAACAGCTTTGATTAGGTAAAGACTCGGCTGCCTCACCTCCTGGCTTTTCAGGAGCAGTTCTATTACAACAGTGCTCCTGACAAGCTCTTGTCTGGCTCACCCGTCTTCTGTCTCTGCTATTCGTCTGGGGAACACAAGCTGACTCACAATCAGGACACACTCCTAATCAGCATTCAGTGGATTACTGCAGCTGTTCAGCTTGTTGCAGTGAAGCTTGAATTATTTAATCTTTGTACTTTAGTTAGCTGACTGGCTTCTTACATTGGGACTCTAAAACTTCTGTATTAGCCAGGATCATGGTTTTAAGCATAAGTATACACACACAGACTTAAGAGTTGGATGCTGTGGATGTGGTATCAATTGCATAAAAAAAAATATTAAGAAAGTGTAAGATATCCAGATATGAAGAAGAAGAAATACCAGAGAAAAAAATGAAGATTTTAATTTTGGTGCTTCATCTTTACTCCAAAGCTATCTTCCATGTATTGCAAGTATGGGAGTGGTAAGGGGAAGACAAAAGGAAGTACCCATTACCTTTGCAGTTTAGCAGGGAGGTGGTTAAAAGACACATCATTTTCTTCCTACCCATTTCATCCCTGATTTCTCTGTAGTCATTCATAAAATACTGAAAGGTCTTTTCATTTGAATTTGAATTGCTACCCTCTACTTGCTTCTATTGAAAATAAAGACAAAACCACATCCTGGATTCTGCAGTCTCCATTTTGCTTTCATGGTGAGTAGTGGGCAGTCACTATCATCATATGCAGGGAGAACTGAAAATTTCTGCAGACTTGGACTCCTCATGTCCCTACTCTGGCTGTGATCTATGTGTTGAAACTTCAGAAATATTCTTCTTCAACCCCATGCCTCACATCACTTCTATCATGAAAACACCACTGGGATGTTCTTCTTTCCCTTCCACCTTTTCAGCTGTGAGTGCAATGCCAGGGGGGAAATGACCCATGTTTGGGCCACTGTGTGGCTACCACAGCACAAGAAATGTGGCCAAGAGGAAATTTTGGTGCTTACCTCGGCTGGCCCGGCTCCGAGTGCGGACGCCCAGTGCCATGGTGCTGTCCCCACCCATGGAGCAGTTCTTCAGCACAGCCTTCATGTTCTCGTGCTCGGCAGCATCCTCGGCGTACTGCAGGCCCTGGGGCTGGCTCTGGCAGGGCGGGGAGCTGCTGGAGAACTTGCCAGACTGTGGGAGGAAAAGGATTTGTTGTTTCAACAACAGCATGAACAATAGGCCAGGGGCTTGACTGCGAATTGCAAGGAAAGAAGTGTCCTCGCAGGCTTGGTTCGGAGTGCAGCTACTATTCCCAAAAGAGCCCAGTAACAGTTGCTCCTCTCCCAGAGCATTTACTTTGACCGGAAATAAACCTGAAACAGGGTGACAGCAGGGAGTAGACACAGAGGAAAACCAGATGCATTAGCTCAAGCTTTGTAATTTTGACCTTGTGTCTGAGAGTAAAAGGTACAAAGCAAGGACTTGCTTTGAAACCTTCGATCCAGACTGGGCCTGATCTGGGGTCAGGCATGATGCTGAGAGGAATAGCATGAAACCCAACAGAAAAAAAGAAATTGCTGTTTTTGGTATGTAATCAACTTTCAGTAGCAAGGCAAAATGGGGACAGTGATCTAGGAAGAGACACCTTTCTCTCTTGGCTCTCTGCCTTGCTGAATAGAAAACTCTCAAACCGCTCTAAAACACAATTATCTACAAGTAACTTCAATACACATTACCATTAATGCTTAAAAAGTCCCTTGTCCCAAAACACCCAGACAAACTGTTTATGGCCAAAACACAAAAATTGCAGTCAGAAATCAGAACAACAAACAAAACCATACAAGAGATTAAGGAGTCTGCCCTCCACTTCCCTGTCACCACGAGTACACGAACAACAGCAGCTACACTAGCTGGGCAAGCACAGTGTGGGTATGCAGCAGCCCCACCAGTGACCCAAATAACCACCTAGGAATGTGTGGGAGCAGCAGAAGTGGGTACTTTCTAAGGAGGACTTGCATTGCTGGGCTGCTCTCCCTTCCCAGACTCAGCCTCCAAAGGGCTTGGATGCTGGTATTTGCCACTATGCTCTTATCTACAGAAAGGTCAAAGCACATTGAAAATACAGCCCTGACTGCAGGAAATACCGACCCTGTTGACAGCAAACAGGCATCAACAGATAATAATAAACTTCGGTACTCTCACTCCTATCAGTCCAACATCAGACACCGAAATATGTTTTGTTTTTCCTTTTAATCTTTCTTGATCTAATTCAGCACAGATGAAAGGACAAGTGCTGCATTCTCTTCTTTCTTTGCATAATAAACAACATTAATTATTCACTTGGTGATTTCAAGCCAGTCAGTTAAAGGGATGCAAACCTGCAAAGTCCTTCTGTCAGAGAATGGTAAATTGAAAGAAAAGACTGGCCCTACTTTCAGAGCTTTGATCAAGTCCCCATGTCAAGACTGCAAATTGAAAATGTGCAATCTGGAATCCAAAGATAGGACGATTCTGTTTTAACATAGTGTCTTTTTGGGATAAGATAGCAAGTTAACTGAGTAGCAAAACAATAATCCCTAAAAGGCACTGAACTAAATATATCAGTAAGAGACCTATTTTTGATAGTTAGAAGTTTGTTTTCTTGTTAAAAGATTAGCTTGCAACATTTTGATGTGAAAAGTATGCAAGTGTTAGAGTTTCACATGTGAAAGTAAAAGATAGAAAAATATTAGAGAAAAACTCCCATGAAATGGCATGCCATTTTTGCATTAAGACTACTCTCTTACACAAAGTTGGTTGTTCAGCTAATCAATACAATCTCCAAAAAATTCCAAAGGATAAAGGCTTCACATAACTGTTAGTTCCTGTTCACACAGGTTAGTTACATGTTGGCATAAACAGGCAAATTCATGTAATTTTCTTTCCATGCCCTAAGCTGTACAGCAGAAACCATCTCTGGGGGTGAAGCTCTAGAGCCAAAAGTTTTATTTAATTTCCTTAATTTTCAGATGTTGCCATAAATTGCTGCAGAAACCCCAGCCTGCTGAGAAAATGACCACCACTATGAAATACTGAGCATTAAGCCATATTGTTTATGTTCAGCAAATTGAAGAAAGCTCTAATGCTGAACAAAAAATGCATTGCAAAAACGATGCTACTCAAATCAATAAACTTTTATTATGAATATAGCTAGAATATGAATATAGCTCACCTTCAGGAGCACTTTATGATAAATACATGAACATGGCTCACCTCTATGATGAATGAAGTGTCTCATTCTCTATTTATACAGCAAGGCAAACAGTTAGTATTTGCTTAACATCCCTATATCCTGATGCTTTTTAAAACTTTACAAAATAATACTATGTGGGGTTATGCAGCCTAATGAGTGTGAAATTATCCTGGTAATCCATAGCCCAAGGTAACTTATGATCCCCATAACATTTAGATCACTGATGTGTTGGGTAATGGGGATACTTTGCAGTACGCTACAGATAGTAAGAAAAAAAATGAGGAAACTTAAAATTATTAAGGCCTCAGATAAAGCTATCCTTATTTAAGAGGACAGGCATGCATATGGTTAAAGCTGACTGTAAAAATGCATTCTTATGATTGAGACAAAAAGGTATGAGTAATATGTCATGGTTCATAGTTCCAGCTGAGCAGATGGAGTTGAACAGTCCATACTGAGTTAGAAATTAGATGTCACAGCACACAGGAGACATGGGTGACATGCTTTTTCAAAGAACCATACCTCAACATCCTCCTCTTCATCGGTCTGCCACTGGAAACAAAGGACAAGGTGGAGAAGGACAAACAGCAAGATTTAGGAAAGACAGCACCGTCAAACCATGTCAGAGTAAGAGGTAACCATGGTACTGTTTATGCAATAGGAGGACATAAAAATAGAAGACATAAAAGGAATTCATTCCTTAGACAATCAGCTTTCTCTTGTTTTTAGCTGATTGTATGTAGAGCAGACTGTCACTGCCAATAGGATATGTAGAAATTTCCTGATTTTTCTTACAGAAATGGTGAACTGAAACTACCCCTACCCCATCCTCTTTCTCTCCCTTGAGTCATGTGGTTGTTTGCCCCATGGAAACTGACAACACTAGGTAGGACTCCTTCTTCTTCCAGCTCTGTGCAGCACAGGGAGGTCCTGGCTGTTGTTTCTCTCAGTGCAGAGGTCAACTTCTTGGCAATTCCTTTTCTCTGCACTTAAGTGTTTGTTTTAATTCCATTTTTAAGCTGGGGTTTTTCAACTTCCAATTCAACAGAGCACTCAAATCAAATGCTGGGTAGTCTTTCAATAAATGCTTAAAGTTCTTCAGTAGCTGCCTGATACCTGATCCTGAAAATCAGAGAGAGGCAATTATCCAATGTTACTCAGGGCTTTTACCCTCTGTGACAGAAGGCATCTAAAACTATCTTGATGGTTGCACTACTATTAAATGCACAGACATAAAAAAGTATTGTGCGATATGGAGTATTCTTAAATTTGGGGATTTACAGGGAATTAGCAAACTATTTAGATCTGTATTCCCAAATGCCTTAGGAATTCTTCACTGGGTTAGAAGATGCCCCACATGGAAGTTTCCCAAAGTAAAACATGGCTTCTCAAGTATCTGGGTTCCTTGTTTCCATAATTTTCAGTTTGATTGTTTATAAAGTGAAAACATAGTCCAAAAATTTTATGCTTTTTTTTTTTTAATTTGTGGATTTTGTTTTGTTTCTTCTAGAAGAAGCATTTTGCCAATAGTATTTTTCTCCCTAGTGTTTCTAATACACATTTTTGACCTTATCTCCATCTCAGCTCTGATTTCTGTCTAGGATTGATACATTCTGTTCCAGAAACATTCATCATTAAAAATGAAAGCCTGATTTACTTTGGCCCTCAGTTTAGCTTCAGCACAATCTCCATAAGAAGATTAGCTGTGACTGCTGAGCAGCCCATTAACATTACTTTTTAAGGGTATGTTTTATGCAAAGAGTGAGATGCTTATTCTAGTTTGGACACAGTGGTACTGACAGAAACACAGGCACTGTGTTTTGCACAGGGACCATGATAGGTATGTTCCCTTTGCATTAAAATTATCTGTTTGTCTTTTTTCCGTCCCCTGGGGGGCAGGGAGTCACTCTATAAAGCAATTCTTCTGAAGAGGACCACTGTTCACTTTTTTTCACAAGTAAGAAACAGAAAGAAGAATAAGAAGTACAGTCTTGTATTCTAATTCCATCTATCTATCTATCTATCTATCTATCTATCTATCTATCTATCTATCTACCTACCTACATACCTACCTACCTACCTACTTACCTACTTACCTACCATCTAATCTATTGTATCATTCTGTTCATCCAGCTAATAAATAAAGGGCAGCAGGAGAACAAATCAAGCTAAACAATACAAAAAAGCAGTCAGGGCAAGGTTAAACAGTAGAGAACACATATTACGAAGTCTGTGCTCCAAACAAAAATGTATTATAGTATTACTTTATATCAAGCTAGTTTTTACAGGTAAATTCCCAGCTGCTGGCCTTCCAGCGCATTTAATCTAGCTAGGAATAATTTGCTGTTGACTCACTTCAAGGGCACTTCTCTGCTTGACTTTGCTCATCTCCAGTACTTGGGCATTACCATTTCTCTCCCTCCTGCTCCACATGGAGAGCACTCACTCCTAGAACCACTGTCCTACAGCCAAAGCTACTCCAGTGCACAGGAAATATAATTCACCACCCTCTTCATATTTCCATGTCTGAAGAGGCATTTGCCTCTAGCAAATACTGACAACAGGAGTAAAAGCAGCAAAATAAAGGAATCAACCTTATGTTTCACTAGGAAATCTGCTCTTACCCTGGTGTGTACATTACACCTTGTATGTCCTTGTGTCATCATTATAAAAACACTGAGAAATAGCAATAAATTATGAATTTTTTAACGTGATATTATCAAAAAGCACTGAGAGAATATTGCTATACTGAATACCACTTGCAGACACAAGATGTTAATTTGAAGGAAAAATATTTGATTCCATTTGTCCATTTGTCCATTTGATTCTTCTGTCATTCAATACTGGATGTTAGAGGACAGTTTGAGATCTACCTCCTTCCCTTCCTCCTGTCCTCACATTTTTCCTTTAGTCTTGCATTTCTGTGCAGTGGATTTGCTGATTAAAAATATTATGTCTATTACATAGTAATTCTGGAATTGAGACTCTTAAGTATTGTGAAAAGCAGAGCTTCATAAATCTGGGAGACAGATGCTTATGTTACCTACTATTATTAAAAATAATATAAAAGTTCAGACTTGTATCTATAATTGCATTTCTTCCCTATTTTGCTTGCTTGTTATTTTTAGAGTGCCTGAAATGATTGCTATCATTGGCTAAAGCCAGATATAAGGGTACAGAGGCTAGGCAATTTTCCCTGTGGAACTGTGGCAAAGCAATGCTCTTCTCTTTTCCTAAGCCCTCTCCTCCAGTCAACATTCACCAAGATTTAAACTGACAGTGCCCAGTCCACTTCAGCTATTAAAGAACATATAAACACAAAGGTATCTGTGGTAAAAGGCTGAAAGAAAGACTGGAAATATTCCCCATTGTGCTCCTCAGCATTACTCCATGTTGAAGCTGTTGTGAGCAGTTGAAGCTGAAGTTGTTGAAGCTGATGCAAGTTCTCCATGCAAAGAGCCAGCACCCCTCTGCCTTCCAAGTCTGCAGGGGGGGACAATGTTCAAGAGATACAGGCCTTCTCCTTAAGAACTGTGTTGATTCTGGCTTATTCCTTTCCTTTTTAATTTGTTAAAATTACTCTTTGTCTGCCTAAAAGCAGTATACTGTGAGGTGATAAAAATGAGACCCTGAGGAAACTTTCAAAAGGACAGGGAGGTAAATTTCAAATAACTGCACAATACTTTTAGGTCACCAAAAACAGAAAGTAAGATTCTGTATGACTACTGCATATCATAATCACTTTCTATAAAGAATTTTTTTACAATGTCAAGATCTCAACTTCCTTCTATCAGTATTTTGTAACTAGTGAACCACTGTCAATGCATTACTGATCTATCTCCCCTTTCCAAGCCTTCAAATATAAAACACTAAGAAAATCAAGACCAGATACAAACCACAGCCAAAACAAAACTACAATAAAATTCCACATTTTCATCATTCTTCACACATAAATATCTTCCATCCTGCTGACTTGGAAACTTGTTTTGAGGTAGATATAACTTTGAAGTTGTCAGAGGAAGCTGTGACAAATAGTCTGATGCAACTTGAATTCAGTTTTACCATATACTGCAGTTCAAATAAAAGGTAAATGAGGCCATATTACTGGGCTATGGTGAAAGAGATTTAGCTAAGTTCTGAAATAACTATGTGGCCACATTAATAATTCCCTTAAAGAACATTCCTGCAAGAGCAGTTTTAAAGACTGCTGTTTTTCACTCATGCAGGCTTTTTAGTTTCAAGCTAATAACTAAGCTTCTTCTATAGTTATAAATTAGAGATAGGCAAACTATGCTCCCTTTTTTAAGATCTGCAAGATATTTTTTGGTGTAACACTAGCTGTCAGATGGCATTTAGTTCTTGCCAAATCTCAACATCATCTTGAGATTAACAAGAGATCTTCTTCCAATAGTACTTTTGTTCTGGGAAAGGCCTTGATGCCTCCTTCTCTCCATTTTCAGAAGACGGCCATTGTCCCTGGTTCTGCCCCTTGCTGACTCACTATCAAGCCTGAGACTTTCTGGTTTGAAAGAGTCCCATTTCTCTACTTCCTGAACCCAGCTGCCAGTGACCAGAACTCCCTTCTCTCTCGCATTTTCTGCAGGAACACGATACAGACAAGCTTTTTGTCCTGCCACAGCAGTATTCTGGATGGACAATACATAAATACTACATTAAATGGTAGGAACACATTTGAGGAAAAAAGTAACTCCTTTACATCTCCGTCTTGCTTAAACCAGTAAAAAGTGTCAAAGCTATGTGAGGGAATGAAAATTTTAATTTACGAAACTCTTTGGCTAATGCTGTCTTTTGGCTCCTTTAGACCACATCAGGAAAACCAAGAAGCAATTGAAAAAAGTGATCTCACTTCTCCAGTGGTAGTTTTGAAAATATGTATGACTACATTATACCCTTTGTATAAAATCAGAGCCTCTTCCTTAACCTGAGACTACACCAAAATAAAAAGTCTTTGATAATAATGCAGGTTTAACATTTTGTCTAGATGGGGCAGATTTCCAAATGTAAACAGGATATTGCCAGGAAAGATCAACAATTGATTGTGAGTCAATGACTTAAATACAATCTCAATTCATGTCAGTCCCAATACATACATATATATTTATATATTTATATTAAACCATGTTGCCTGAGCCATAAAACTGTAATCAGCTTCAGGCTTTTCATGCCAAAGGCAGGGGTAGCTTCATATGCAATGAAAAACTTGCATTTAATCGAGACTCCAGATCTGGATTTTGAGACAGCTGGAAACTTTTATTAAGTACTGGAACTTCTTAATACTATTTGGATTGAGCCAAACTACATCAACTTAAAAAAAAAAAAAAAAAAAAAAAGATAGAAAAAAATTAAGGGTATTTTAAAACCTATTATGCTGAGAAAATTAATCTTATTTTAATTTAGTCTATGAGTATGCAGTCTTATAGTCAAGAAATTTGCAGAGGAACATCTACTGTGGACATAAATTTGTCCATCCTTTCAGAACCCCAAAGTAGTCTGTTACCATAAAATTGGCTGGTCTGTGATTTAAAGTTAAGGAGAAAATTTCTTTGCATGCACATGAAATATATGTATATGTGCATATATATATATATACAGACATAAAAACGGATAAAATGTCAAGACTCAAAAGTATATTAGAATATTCAAAGATGGAGGAAAAAATCCATTAAAATTTGGCTGCAATCACTTAAATGTCTACAATGATTCATCATCTAAATTATGTTCTCAATTAGGAGTCTAATTTCTAGGGTTTTTTTAATCTTTCATATTCTTGGCTGATCAGATACACACAGCTCCTGATATCTTCTATATATTCTGGACACTGTGCAGCACACAGAGAAGCTCTTTTTGGATAATTAATTTCAGTTTGTTCTACATTTTTATGAAGCAGAAAATATACACAACCAAGGACTTGCAAGTTTTGTCTGCTAATAGGGAAGAGTTCATTACTTACAGAACAAAGACCTCTAAAAATAAAAATAGAGTAACAACTCTTCATATACCACATTCAGTGAAAATTTTAAAAATCCATACTATGGGAGATGCCATTTGCCACTTACATCTGTTATCATTTTCCCTCTGGTCTTGTTTCTTTCCCTGTGGTTAGCTCGTTTCTGTTTTTGCTGCAGAACTCGTTCTCTGGTGGTGCGGTATTCCAGAGCAAATTCACTAATAATTTTGCAGAACTTATTGATGTTGACTTCACGTATTGCGTAGGGAGGATGGCCCATAAATAACAAAAATGAGTGAAACCTGGAAAAAATGAGTTTATAAATGTAAAGGGAAAAAATCTTTATTGATGGTCTCTTGGAAAAAAAACAAAACACAGCTATATTTCACTGAATCCATTTATTACTTTACTAGCTTCAATCATTTCCTTTGTGCTCCAGAATTTTCATGGATGCTTTGCATAACATTGGTATGTTTTATAATTGAAACCATGAAAGTCTAGCCTATGATAACTTCATCCTAGTCTACTTTCCCAGGCTGATGCAGGAGATAAAATGTTTATGGAACTTCATCACTTTATATGACTAATTTGGCACATGAATGACCAATTTTATTTCAGTTATAGAAAAAATACTTATTAAGTTTCAATTCTATTTATTTGTATCAAGCAACTTCAAAGAGGCTCTTAGGATGTTGGGCAAAGTCTAGACAAGAAGAATGCAGATTTACAGGCTAGCAAACACAAGGAGGAAAGAATTTCTGGTTCACAAAATGGATCATAAAATTATATTATCTACCAAGTATGTTAGTTTGGGGCACTCTCACAGTTTTACTTCTTCTGTGGCATTCAGAGCTTTTGCACTATTTGCAAATTTTACTATTGCTTCTATATTGCATGATTTACAGCAGCACACTGAATGTGTAAAAATGTATGGGAATTCCTTTTAAGTGCATCTACATCCCTGAGGATAAAAAGTCTTCCCAAACCTAGAAAGATGTAAGTATATGAAAACATTTTTAAGAACTATCATAGCAGTTGCAGGATATCAGAGGAGAAAGTTGATATTTATCTTACTTGAACAATGCATATGATAAACACAACAGGAAACTAATGAATTCACTTCCCTTCCATTGCAATTGGGATTTTGCTTACTTATGGCATAAACCCTCAGTCATTACAAAACCAAAAGAAGAGCTGAATCAACTTCTCAAGTGTATACCCACAAATTTGGGATCATTTGGAATCCAGTTCTTAATTTTGACCACAGCAATTTGGAAATTATCCAGAAGTTGTAAAATCTCTCACAGTTTCATTAAACCCAACTGCAAATCCTAAGGAGAAGAATCTTAGTTTTGCCTTCAGCTGGTATAAGCATAAAACACAAAGTCGAAGATCGTGCAAATAGGAGTGGTTCTGTCTACAAAAGAGCTCATTGTACAAGACTAGTTTCAGCTTCTGCATATAATAAATTTGTCAATACAACTTCATGTATTTTGTTACAGTCAGTTCTTGTTTATTAGACAGTAAGGCAAGCCTCCTTAAAAGAAATCCAGGGATAAACAGAAAATCTATCAACTTAACTATAAAGCTGCTAGGTTTTGAGGACTAAGAGGCAAAAGGCATAGTCATCGCATCTTGGGGATAAATGATTGTTGGATGATTGCTTTTTTAAGTCAAAAATATAGAACTTTTTGGAGTGGGGATCTTTTTTTACTGGGGATTATGTAACAAAATATGCACCATATACAACTCGGTAATATTCCTTTCAGAAATAAGCATTAAACACTTATAAACCACATATTTATGATGTCATAACTTTATCAAGTCATTTACTATCAAGTTATTTCTGTCACCAATATAATTCTGTACCTGTTAATTATTCTTCTATGAACAATCTTCAGGATTATGATTCTTTCTGCACAGTCTTTAAGGAACTCAGACATTTTTTGCTTTAGACTTGGCTTCATTTCATGCTTTGCTATAGCCTTAAGGTGATCCCATGATGCTTTGCACCGTCTTTCCATCTGACACAAGTTTTCCTGGAGTTGTTCAAAGTCAACCTGGAAAAACAGAAAGGAAAAGAAAAGGTAACACTTAAAGTGAAAACACTGCAGTTGTACACTTGGATAACCAAACAATGCAATCTGTGTGTATGAAAGGGTCAAGGCAGTGGCAGCACAACATCAATTCACATTAATAATTATTATTAAAACAATAAAAAATACCTTTCTCTATCACAGTGTGTCTAGGCATGTAATGTTAGCAAGGCAAACTGAAATACCCATACATATATTTGGTTTTATTCTTAGAGGCCTAACAGCAAAAATAGAAACAAAAAAATATTGTGATGTGTTTTTTCCCTTGCTAATAAGTTCATATTTGCACCAAGCAACTGCATGACTCAGTTCTTTCTGAGGTAATACAAAACTTTTTCTTAATCCTTTTCTCTACTACTCAAAGCTTTTTATACCCTGTTTACTGCTCACTGTTGTACCCCGCCAACAATTCTCCATTTTAGGAAGTACTTGGATCTATTCCCTAGTCATGCACTGACTTGTTAATAGATGATGTAGTTCTAATCACAAAATTCATGGGCCAGAATTTTTTAAAGCTCTATTGAAAGTATTTGTTATTTAGTGATCTCAGCACTAACTTTCATCCCTTGATACACAATACGAATTTACTGGCTTGTAACAAGATCATATAACAACTCTGAAAGTCTCTCAACACAGTTAAACAAACAATTACACCTTACAGTAACATTCATCAGGATAGAAGCCAACACATTCCACAGAAGATGAGGGAGAGCTTCTCCTTTATTCATCAACCAAAAAAGGTGTTCAAACAGCAATACTCTTATAGAAGACACTCAGGACGTGTTGCTAACAACTCAAAAGAGTGCATCAATGATCCAGCTACAACAGATGAGAAAAATAAAACTATCCAACATGTTCTGGAATTCTGAAGAAAGGAAAAATTATTTTACAATACCACTTCACAGTTCAGATGAACTCAAGCTATAAAATACAGACTTAACTCTCAGATTCTAAACACATCAGTGCTTAGGATGTTACAGTCTCATACTCCATAATGCTAAATGAAAACCAGTGTCAGAGGCAGGTTTTATTTCATTCTTCTTAGCTGTGTGCAGCATCCACTGCTGAGACCTATACTGAGAATAGCCATAGGAAATGCATTATTATTAAAAAGCTCCTGGTATTGATTTGATTTGTTTTTGCTGTGATTTATAAAGTGATGAATTTTTCCTCTTCACAAGGAAATAAAAACATCCTTTGATCCACTCTGCTATTCAGAAAAGCCCTGCAGGCGGAGCAGCTGTGGGGTATTTGCTTTCCTTATATCCATATCAATGCATATGCTGAAAAAAAAAACCTTTGCAGGTCAGTATTTTCTCTGTTGATGATAAACACATTGCTGCTCTCCACAGATGGTGTATCTAAAATGCACATGGGGAAAAATACTAGCATTCCTGTTGGAAAGGAAGAAAAAAAAAATTCAAGGTTTAGGTCTTCTTAGTAAGAATAATCCAACCTGGTTTGAGGAAGCCTCTCAGCCTCTGTAGCTGAGAAATTTAAATTCATGACATTTTATGACAGAATGAGTTTTAATCTATCAAAAAGCTCTGAGTTTCAGGCCTGTAGGGGTTCAAGATATGTCTTTGGAGAACAACAAATCTGTGGGGAATGTGGTGAATTCCTGGCCCCTTGAAATCTGCCAACAGTCAACACATTCACAAGAGTGGGAAGTTCCAGCAGGGTTGGGGGCTGGCGGGTTGGGCTAAGGGACACTTATGAGTTTTTTGAGCACAAAAAAAAAATATCAGCCCTCTGTAGAAGTCCTAAGGAGACTGCAGTAAAAAGAACTGCATTAACAGAACCACCTGAACTCTCCTGGAATAAACTTCTGTGAAGCACAGGTGTGCTCAAGCAGAAGTTGTGAACTCCTGGAAGGAGTAAAGTAGGAACTCCAATATAGGATAATATACCTGTCCAAAAGCAAACTGTTCAGTGCCTGAAAGAATGTGCCAAACTTTCATGAAATGTCTGTCTGCTGACTCTCTAGTTTGGTCACTTGCTTGTGGACAGAAAGGAATATACTTGCAGAAAAACACCCTCATGTGAAATACTGAAGTTCCAGTTTTTCTCAATCAGGTACCCCACCTGATACTTTATGAAATGTTATTTCACCAGTGCCAGTTGTGTGTGTAGACTTTCAGTCTGCTCCAGGTCTGTGGCTCTGCTTAGGGTGTTCTATACAAATATAATGGTAAGAGTGATGAGAAATCCCAATTACAAGAGATCCTCTATCATGAGTTCATTCATATGACAAGGAGAACAAAAACTTGTGTGGAGGAATAATGACAATTATTCAATATAGTATGCATAAAGAAAACATAAAAAGGCATTTATAATACCATACTACCTCTTAACCAGTTCACATAGCATGGCCAAGGGAGCATGGATTACACCTTCTGATTTATGTGATTATTTCCAACATTTAACTGAAGGAAGTAATGATATATAATAGCAGAGAAACATGATTCCTTTTTTGTGCTTTCTTTCTTGAAAGGAAAGAGGTACCAATTCTTGCCTGCAGCTGGATGATCATGCCGGGACTAAGAAGGAATTAGGAGAGTTGAGGTTCCAGGAGAGCTTGGCATAGGAGATACTCAGACAAGAATTGCTGTGGCATTATTTTATAACTATGCTCCACTGAATAAAAGGAAGCAGGAATCTGAAGTAGTCATTACAGCTTTCTTGCTGGACAGTAGTGTACAGATGTTGTACCTTGCCCAAGGGTCTGGAGGAAGGTGGAAACATATTCTTTTTTATCCTCAGTATGTATATGTGCAAAACACATGCAGCCTGCTGGTCCTGCATAGTTACCTTCTGCTGAAATTTTTAAAATTAATACATGTTCTTTTCTGAAGGAAAATGAATGAGTGGTCTTAGGCTGTTATGCAAAATAGGAATGCCCTTTCTTTCAAACACTATGAAATGTTTATTTTGATTTGTAAACCAATTTAGAAAAAACAACTTTCTAAATGTTTCTAAATGGTTCTGGGATATATTTGATACGTTCCTCCTTTCTGTGGCCAGGTTCCTCTCCATTCACAATCACACTAGCTAAAAAATATTCAGAACTATTGGCATCTGTGAAACCTCTTGCTAGGCCCACTGTTCAGTCTTCTGAGAAGTGCCTTAAGTAGACACTGTTTGATCAGAGAGGAGGAGCTAGAGACAGTATATGCAAACAGGATGTAAAGACAAGTTTATGTGACAAATGCCCTGCAGAGTCAGCCCATCAAACCACTGCCCTAAACTCATTCATGGGCAACTTTAGAATTAAAAATCTCTTTTTCAATTCAACATACCACATTTTGCACATACAACTCAGACCAAAGAATAAAACCTTCTAATCACATCCCAGAAACAACAGCACTCACTTTAATCACTTTATATCACTATTTACTGCTTGCTATTATAGCAGATGACTTTACCATAAACAACAAAAATAAAAATAATTCTACCAAGTTTCTCATTCAATTGGGCTGAGAATTCAGTACCTCATGACATATCTACTGCCCAAACAGCTTCTGTTCTCACGTGTGTGTTTTTCACCTGACTCAGAAATTGCTACCAGCATCAAATGGCTCAGCATTTACTTCCCTGCTCGTTCTGGTTCCCTGAACATTGGTTCTTACAAGGCCTATTTTTTTCAAGTTCAACTCCATCCAATATCACATGCCATGTATAAAAGTTTAGAACTTTCTAATTCATGAAATACTAGACCATGCTCCAGTCATTCAGGCAGGACATGGATCAGGGAGCCTTTCTGGTCTTTGGGTTGGGATGTATTCCTCTGTGCAGCCACGAGTACCTCATGGCAACACAGGAATTGCACACTTTATTATTTGTTGGAAGAGAGAGGAATGGCTGCTTTGAGGTAACATTGGGAATTAAATGCAGTAGTTCAAACCTAAAGTGCCTTGCACTACATATTCCCCAGGGCAGCATGTACAACTCCAGGTATGCACTGCCATGCACCGCAAACAACCACAGCCACTGTGAGATAAGAGGTCATTTTTCTTCAGCTTTCCCTTCACATTTCCCTTGGAATGTGCTTTACAAACACGTTTCCTCTTCCAGCTAAATCTCCTCTAGTCCTTGGGCTAAGCTCCCCCACTGCTGCAAGTACAAAACCATCCTGAAGTCAAAGATGCTGCACCTAAATACCCTCACGTTTCCTGTCTCCTATGTTGACATTCAGCTCCTCAACAGGGTCAAAGATGTCACAACTGGATTGAAACAAAAAACCCCAAAACAATTGAATGAATGGAAACTGATGAAACGCTTCTTTTCAAAATCACTCTATCCAAAGTTTTGTTCTGAAGGCCAGTGAATAACTTATTACCTAGATTCATCATAATCGTACAAGGCTTCTATTGTTTGATACTCTCTTGGTTTTTGCTATAGCTTGTTTCTTTTAGTGGTGAACATATAAAATTCAGTTATTTTTTAAGGAAGACCTGGATCTCTGCATTTTTATCTTAGTCACTTTAAGAGAAGATTGATGCTTTCACAATAACATGTTGCCTTAAATGCACAATAAAATGACAACTATTTTATTGTACCTCATAGAAAGATATACATAACCACACACAAGCTTTCTCTTTTCAAAGTTCAAGATAGTTTCTGCAGCAGACCACAGTCTAGTCTGAGCTGTTTATAATTTAGGGTCAGACCGTTCATTCTCACATTATTACAGGGATGCGTTCTGGCAGGGAACATGAAATCTTCCTCTTTTCCTGAGTTGGTTCAGTGCCAAAGGAAATTCTGAGAATTGCTCCTTGCAAACATGCTGTCATCTGAGAGCAGCGACCTTCTGTGGCGTATATTCAAACTCTGTCTCCTCTAATATTTCCAGACTGGCTTCCTTCACCAAGTGTCACAAGAATTATCCCAGGACCCTTGTTAGTCTGACTTGCACACTGTGGGCATGCATTTTAAGTGAGATAGATGCCAGCTCTCTAAAGCAA